ACTGCTTTTGTGCTGCAGGGTCACATATGTGTGTGGTGTGGTATTCACCCCGGTGGCTCTGCTGCTGGTGGTGTTGTTGATGTTGCTGATGGGGTTGGTGGAGCAGGTCTTGTCCCGCGTCAGATGCACCAGAGACAGAAGGCAAAGGTCAGCAGCTCCCTGTTTGTCCTGAGCTGCTTCCTCGTCACTATCAATGCTGCGACTCAAGAGCTGCTCATTCTCTGATGACGCGTCGTTCTCACTACAACAGTGCAAGCGTTTAGTGTTTGAATGCTGACAGCACGTGTACAAAGAATATTAATTAACAATAAACAAAAAAGCATTTAAAAATCTTAAATGTTCATTTCAACATTTATTACTACATTTCTAAAATCAATGAACAACTGTATTTTTATTAACTAACTATCAAAGATTGCTGTAAAAAATACATTGCATTTTGTTAGTTCATATGAACTAATGTTAACAAATGAGACCTTATTGTAAAGTGTTACAAATGTTTCTTATTCACTCTCTCAACAACTATTTTTTTTTAATGGCATCCTACAGTCTTGGAAAACCAGGATATATAAATTTATTGGTCGAGAGTGAAGAACTTATACGCCTTAAAACGTCTGGAATCATGAAATTTAGAAGTATTTCAGTTATTTCAATCTATGGACACTCGTAGTATCTGTAATTGTTAAAAATATTTGGTGATTATTTACATTATTGTAATGTTTTATGCCAGTCATAGTCACTGTGAGCTGCATGAAGGTTCTTCAGGATTTGAAATAACTCTATTCCTTGATGAAAGAGACTGATTTAGACATTTGCTCTTCTGCCTCTTGTGGTTTACGGTAATAATTATCATGCACTGACTATCTCATAAACGGGCGCAATCTATCTATATATTAGATCATCTAGAATACATCTGACCAATTGCAATCAGTCAGTCAGGGCTATTTGGCTTTTCATAACATGTTGTTTCAGATTAGTGGAAAAAAAAAATCCAAAATATACATTTAAGTGTTTATTTGATTGCACTTTATCTATTTGCATCAGTAGATTTCAGTTCCAATCTATATCTTTAAAGAGATTTTTCTCCACTTCAGCAGCACTTACATACACCAAATTTTACAGTTTTATTCCTATCTATATTCTAAAGTGTTTTACTGAGGGGTTTGTTCATATATAATTTGCCTGGTTTTATTTTTGCACTTTATCATTTTGCGTCTGTAGATTTAATTTACAGTACATATCTTTAAAGAGTTTGTTTTTCCACCTCAGCAACACTTACATACACAAAATTTTAAAGTTGAATTCCTCTCTATATTCTGAAGTTTTTTACTGAGGGGTTTGTTCATATATAATTTTCCTGGTTTTATTTTTACACTTTATCTGTTTGCGTCTGCAGATTTTAGTTCCAATACATAACTTTAAAAAGTTTTTTCTCCACTTCAGCAGCACTTGCATACACAAAATTTTAAAGTTTAATTCCTCTCTGTATTCTGAAGTTTTTTATTGATGGGTTTGTTTATATTTAATTTACCTGGATTTATTATTGCACTTAATCTATTTGCGTCTGTAGATTTTCTGTTTCAATATATATAAAGCCTTTTTTCTCAAAATGAGTTTGTTTCTCCACTTCAGCAGCACTTACATACACCAAAACGTACAGTTTTATTCCTATCTATATTCTGAAGGGTTTTACTCAGGGGTTTGTTCATATATCATTGGCTTGGTATTATCATTGCACTTTACCTATTTGCATCTGTAAATTTAATTTACAATACAATCTTTAAAGGTTGTTTTCTCAAAATGAGTTTTTATCTCCACTTCACCAAACTTAGTTTTATTCCTGTCTGTATTCTGAAGGTTTCCGCTGAGGGGGTTTGTTCATATATCATTCACACTGATTTATAAAACATTTTATTCCTAAAAAAATATAAAAATGTATTTTTTCTGTCTGCTGCAGAGCTAAAAAGAGAAATCCAAAATCCCCTCTGTAAAGACCTTTAACTCTAATATGTCAAAACAAAATATTGTGAACCTGGCTTTATCCAATGTTTAGAATTATGGTCTGGAAATGTATGCAAATGAGCACATATTTAATTAGATAATGCCTCATTTGCTTATTTAAATATAACATTTCAGAAAACTTGTAATACACAAAATGTTGGCAATTCTTAATGTAATTACCCAAGTCAGGAAGTGATGATATCTATAAGTAACTTTTTTTAAAACTTTTTTGTAAACCAGGTGAAGTTCTCATCTAACTAGTATGAGGAAAGCAGTT